GATTTACGGTTTTGTTGAGCTTTTGGATTGTGAAATCAAAGAGCTCATGGCAATCATCCCATGCAGTTTTTTCGTGTGCATTTTGGAACTTTGAACCAAGTGAGTACATGTTGGTTTGAGCATGGATGGCACGGTCTAGGGCTAGTTGGGTTGATATCTTGAAGAATTGGGATTTTTCTTTGATGGGGGTTGTAGTTGGGTTATGGCTCAGAAAATCCTTACATAGTTTTGGGTGAGGAGTTTGTGTACACCATGTTTTCACATCATTTGGAGAGTAACCAAATATGATTGGAGAGAGATAAAGCACCAAGAAAAGTGTTGAGTGAAATCGAGTTGGCATTTTTGGATGGCTTTTGATCAAGAAATGTGTATGAAATATGGGCGATTTGGGAGACTAGAGCTATATGAGCTTTCGTGTTTGAATGTGGTGTGCATGGCTTAGCTCAATTGGGTTCTATATATAGAAGGGAAACGGGCGCGGGGGTTGTCGATGTAAAGCGTGTTACAGGGGGCGAACAACTTTGTTGTTCTTTTCTCTGAATATTTAATATCCAACATGTTTGTTTATCATTTTGGAATTTTTTGATGACTGATATTAGAATACAAATGCAATAATTGGTAGCCGAGGAACTTGATAATATTACACGGCACTACAATTAGTAGTGGCAATAATTTTGGAACACCAACCAATTAAAATCCATTTATATATACGATATGACATAGCAAATGATACGGGTTGTTCGAGGAATGAAAAAAAGAAGTGACATGGGCTTCCATGTCATATGAGATTAACTGGTAGTAATAAGTTTGGAAATTATTTGGTATATCTAGTACTATATTGTATATTGAACATCAATTTTATAATATAGCAAATGTAAGTTAAGTCAGTTGGTCATTACAGTGTGTCTGTCCACTTGCAACCGAAGTCGATTCCTGCCTTTAGCAGTTAAAGACATTCATCCGCACATTCGAAGTTCAAAATATGATTTTTGTCCCTTTTACCAATAAATTGTCCTTTAAGGAAAAAAAAACAGTGGGTGGTAATAGCTAGGCTACTCGATAAGTTAAAAGTTTGTTGGATTTTTCTTTACGGAGGCTAGAAAAAAACGCGTTGTTGATTGAAATATATCTAGTAAGCATCATGCATGCAATTACGTATGAAGGAGGAAATAAAGATGAAATGAGTCGGCTGAGATTTGACAGGAAAGACATATCTTTTTCGTATACAACTTCTTTTGAAGACCTTGATCAAACATCAATCATAGCACGTGTATATATGAAATCTGGAAAGCAGTCCAGATGCTCGCATGATTTATATATATAAATATAAATTCAACGTGCTTGGCTCACAAATTCACAATCTGTCTTTGGCTTAATTATCTGTGGGTTGATATTAGATGGATTATTCGTATTCTTCTCCGACAGCCAAAAATAGTTAATTAAAATACTTCGTTTTTAGAAGCCCTTACCTGCATCAGATAAGATCACCCACCAAAGTGATTATTTTAGAAGCCCAGAAGTGATTATTTTATGAGTATTCTTTCTCCAACATTCATATTCTTGAATGTCAAAAAAGAAAAAGAAAAAAAAAAGTGTTTTTCATCTATATTAATTACCCACCAAAAAAAATTATTTTTAATATGAAAACTGTTATTGCCGGCACTATGAAAAAGTCAGCACATACTCATTCAATTACTATTTCTCGATTATGTTTTTATAAGGGAGAAGTACATGACGACGGTTTGAGACTGCTAATAATATAGCTCCCAACGTCATGTCCTTCTTCTCTATAGTTAATTATAAAAAAATTAAACGAAAATAGAAAAAATACATAAAACATGACCAAGCGTCCCTGATTTATTTATTTATTTATTTATAATTACGAACTTAATATAAACATCATAAGAAGTAAACTAGTTAAGGGAGACTTTGAATTTTTGTTTAGGTATCTTATCCTAAACATTGTAGACTTCACATTAACATATCAACCACACAACAACAACAACAACAACAACAGCAACAACAAAAAGAAGAAGAAGCAGAAACTTAGTTGTTGTCCTACCTATGCCCTTAATATATAGTTGAACTCAATTAAGAATGTATTATATTGTTCCACACGCAATTGCAAGAGCCTATGTTCTAAAAGCACACGGATAGATTTAGGAGTTCACGGTTGGTCCAACTACCTTGATGGACACAAGCTGGTCGTTGACAATCTATAAAGTGGTATAGTTGATGTTTCTGCCAATTTTTCAAGGACCCAATTAAATTGTTGAATAATATTCCAGATTTAATAAACATTATATTACTATCTCTCTCATCTGGGTTAATAGTTTTGAGTACAAGCGATAGTCTAAACTATAAGAGGAGGGGGAATTTCTAGACACACACACAATCAATGTGTCATGAGAGTTCGAATATAAGATCACTAGTTTGTACGTTAAAATTCTTTTTTACTAGACTAAACCCCGTTGGCCCTCGTCTTATATTGATTAATAGTTAAGTTAAATTGTCTTGGTCTTTTTGACATAGAAAAACTGAATTTAGGATGCAATTACATATTAAAATCATTAATACTATGTAGAGGCAGTTATCGATACCTATGACGTCAGAACTTTAGTGATTCTAATATTGTCTTACTAGATATGTTATTGTTGCCAGATTTTCATTTTGGACAAATATATTCAAATAAAAGTCTATACTTGCTTATATATTCATTGAGGAATCCTCAAATTAGCTTATTTGAGAGACACCCGTGTAGGATCCACTTCGCATTGTATTTCACTAATCCAAACCGTCTATGTTTTAGATAATCATTTAAATATCTTCTCTATAAAAAATCACTTGAATCTGATATCGTTCGACCACTCAATTGTGTTACTAAAATTTAAGTACTTTCTTGAAGTATCGTGTTCATTGATTTGTAGCATACAATTGGATGTCGAAAAGGTTTCTGAATTGTCTAATTTTTTGTAAGGATGATCTATGAATGTAGCCTTAAAAAATAGATGGTTTGGATCGTTAGAAAAAAAATCATAGGGTATCCTAAAAGGTGTCTCTCAAATAAAATTATTTAAAGGATCCCTCAATAGAAGGGTACATAGTAAATAGTTAGGCAAAATATACATGCAAATATCAATTCAACCTGCTTAATTCATTGAAGAATAATAGTCCGCCATGCATTCTTTCAACAAAAACAACCCCCATTGACAAATATTATGGTCTAATTTGAATTAATGCAATCAAATTATAAATGGAATTATTGTATTGGAAGCTATAATTCTCTAATATCAATTATATTCGTGTCTATCCGGTTAGTGTTGGTTTATTGGGTGATCATGACTAATATCCTATATAGAAATTAAAATAAGCTTACCTTGTTTGTTGTATACCAAACTTCAAGTCAAGTTGAAATTAAAAAAAATAAAAAATTATATATGTCATTAATTTCAACTTGACTGGAATTTTTGATCGTATATTGTATGTTAATGAAAATTATTATGTGATCGTCATTACTGCCATCATATGTACATATATATATATATATAAATGATATTAAACTAAATTGTCAATAATATTTTCGTTTTCCGTTTACTTCTTAGAGATACAGAAAGATATCCGTCGATATTATATTCACAACATATTTTGAAAATTTTGTCAAACAATATACGTAGATATTTTATTTATATTTTCCAGTCTCCTATTTTACTATGTTACCAGGGTTTGACTTACTGCCATCAGAAGTTACTTTTGAATTTGGACATTCAAATAATGGTTGCTCTTTAGGCTCAAATCAATGGACAGACGGCAGATCACGAACATCAGATTTCTTGACTTTGACACCCAAGAAAAAAGAAGAAGAAGAAGGAATAAATGAGACGGCCGGCATAATTCTATAGTTGATTGGCCAATCATGAAGTTTCTTCTCCTTCACGTTGGTTTGGATTAGATAGAACCATAACGAACTATTGTCTAAATATTGTCTAACTAATCCAATTGGGATTCGACTCTCTCTCGTTTGTCAATGGGTGTTTCTATTTGGACAACATTGACGGATCACATTGCTGAATGTCTCTTTAATATATATGAATTTCACATACACTGATGGATTCCACCTCTACTAGAGAGGTACTCAACGTTACGATTTTGTCTTTATATTATTTGTTTTCATGAGTGTTTTTTGTGTGTGAAAGTTTTGCCATACAACGTTTTGTCAATTTCCTTTTGGAACTCTCTGAAGCAATAACTATAGTTTCCATTACATATTTTGTTATATTGAGCTTGCAATTCGTACTCTATAGTCCGACGCGTTGTACATAGTACATACTACGTTTAGGTTCCCGTTTTACTACAGTCGGGCATCATCCGATTCCAATACATGGTAAAGTAAATTCAATTAGCAATAAAAAGAGTGTTACCACCTAATGGCTTGCATGGGACTCAAAAGCAATAAATACTATTTATCAAGTAATATAATTTATGAAGTTAATTGAAATATTTAATACTAATTATTAACCAACAAAATATTAATTAAAATATAATTACCAATAAAAGTGATTAAATAAGGCTAAGATATTATTTAATTACAAAAAAATGAAAAATAAAAAAAATTTATTGACCTAAAGATATTAAGTTTATATTGATTTTTTTTTTTTAAAAACGTCTAACTGTATAGCCGCGCGACTATACTGTTTGAATAGAAATTTTAAAAGTGCAACTGGACGGCTCTACTCTTTAAATATAAATTCGACAGGTATAGCCGGCCGGCTATACGCCATAAATAGGAATTTTAACAGTCTAGCCGCGCGGCTATAAGCATTAAATAGAAATTTCACAAGTATAGCCGAACGGCTATAGTCCACATAGAATTTTAAATGTATAGCCGCACGGCTATACTCTATAAAAAGATCCATGTGATTTCTAAAAACCCACCTTTCTTTTTGTTGCGCCGTCCTTCATCGCCCTCTCATATAATTTTTTTTTTTTCTTCCATAGCTTTCTCTTCTCTGCATTTCCACCTCTTCCTCTCTTCTCGCCGACTCATCCACTATCGAGCCGGCGCTTCTCTCCCGATCCCTCTAGCATCTTCTCCGCACCGCCAAACCCAAGCCAATCAAATCCTCATCGAAATCCAAATCCATGTCTGAGTTAATTTTTCCCCCAGTATTATCCTCTTGTTGTGCTGCACTGGTTTCGGCTTCTCTGTCATATTTTTGTGTTTCTGTATTCTTGCCTTCTTATTGTGTATGGGTCTGTCCGTTTTGATGTGATTTTCTGAGAAATTTTAATACCTGGAGTTTTCGAGCTGCTGTTGATTTGGTTATATTGTTGTGTTTTTCACATTGAATTACATTGTTTGATATTGATTTTGTTCTTAATCTGTTTTTTTTAAAAAAAAAAATTGGTTTCTTCTTTAGTTTTTCAGGGGCCTCCCCAGTCTTAGACTTGTGACTTATTTGCAGAGAGAGATGGGCATTTCTCCGGTGAGGCCACCGCGCATTATAAAGTATCTAAAGCCTTATGTTCTGAAAATGCACTTCACAAACAAATTCGTAACTGCCCAAGTAATCCACACTCCAACCGCCACAGTAGCCTCTTCTGCAAGCTCCCAGGAAAAGGCCTTGAGAGAAAGCATGGAGATACGCCGCGACGTTGCTGCTGCTGCAAAGATAGGGAAGATATTAGGGGAGCGCCTCCTGCTCAAGAACATCCCTGCTGTATCCGTCCAGTTGAAGAAAGAGCAGAAATATCATGGTAAGGTTAAAGCTGTCGTCGATAGTGTGGTGGAAGCCGGTGTAAAACTCCTCTGATTTCGACTGCGAGTATTAGTTCAGTTTTAGTTTTTTTAATTGTGATCATGAACACCATTGGAAATTCAAATTCTGATTGTTGATGCAATAGAGACTTCTTTCAGAAATTTTCTGGTTGGATTTTGGTTTTGATTTGAATGTTATTGTTTCATTCATGCCATGCCAATGCACTTTATAAAATGTGTTAAAAAAATTGATTTATAATCAGCTTGGTTTGATATGTTTATGCTGAAAACCTCAACATGTTTGAAGAGATTGAATTATATTTTTGACTTAATTGTAGCAATGGTGCCTCAACTTGAATTTTTAATACCCGTAGTTACATTTTGGTCACTCAATTCCAAAAATAGTTACAGAGGTCCCAATTATGTATCCAGTTACACCGTTGGTCCTTGTCGTCAAGTCTGTGACTTTTTCTGTCAAAAATGAGGGTAAATTTTAAACAGTATAAGAAGGCCGGCCCAAAAGTGAGAAATAGAATCCATAATGGACCACAGATCAGGCCCAAAAGCTTTGTAATTTTGTCCAAACCGGGGCCCTTTTAATTTAGAACCAGATGAAGTTGGCCGTTGAGGGCATTCTTGTACTTTCGTTCGCTTTTGTAATTTTGTATATTTACATATATATACAGTCACATGATGATGTCCAAGCTTGATCCAGAATGCATGTTCGCAGAAAACCCAAATTAAGACCATCTCCAACCATGTTAGGGCTAAACTCAAATTTTCACACTCCAAAATACAACTATTCATGTATTTTTAGGACTCAAACTATTTTTTCCTCCAACCTTGCGGACTCATAATTTGAGTCCGCAACTTTATTAAATTTTTAAGAATGATTAACGCTTAAATTTTTTTTGTCATTAATTTTTCTTGACATTAATTTTGTTTCAACATTCGTGAATTAATTTTCTAAACATTTTAATCTAAAAAAATTAAAATTCCATGAACATAACATTTTTTTTGGCTTGAAATTAAAATAGTTGGTTCACATTGCTTTACACGTGGCCAGCTTTTAAAGGCTCCAAAAGATTATATAAAGAATTAAAAAAAGAACAAGTAGATGCATAATTGGTTTTCAAAGGGAG